AATATCACTATCAGGACATTGTAAAGGTGGAATACCATGATGACAATGATGTGGTAAGTCTGGAGGGCGTAAGCTATTTTCATTATTTTTTACCATCAATAAAAATGTTTCCAAAGATATAATAAGATGATGTAATTGTGGAGAACTTAATTTTCCAATTAATTTTCCTAATTGTACTTCAATTAACCATGCATATTCCAAAGTTTCTTGATCTAAACTTCTTCCTTCATTACTGAACATTGCATGTCCTCTGACTTGCAATGCACTTAACATTAAATGTCCTTGATTTAAATGACGTTCTTTAGTTGAACGGATAAAATTATCAGTAATTAATGCGATTGCGGGCGATAAAAGAAGTTGAAGTTCTGTTTCTTTAAATTTTTTTTTCATTTCAAATCCAAATCGTTCTAAAAGTATAACAGGACAAGGAGGATCATTCTCTCCACAATTTTTTACTAAATGAGCTTGAATATCATGCATTGTAATGCCAACTGTTACTTCTAATGGCCGATAATCTCTTGGATCAAATGGTTTTGATTTGGCATCCTCATCTTCTACAGATTCAACACTACTATTTTGCACATCCCTATCTTTACTTTTTTCAGTACTTATAGATGTAGGATTTGTTCGACTCTGTTGCATATCAGTAAATGTTTGATAATCACCAAATAGATTTTCTTTTAAATGTATAAAATTTTTTAAAAGGGATCCATATAAAATTAATATAGATGGACCTATTTCAAGATCTAAACTAACTTTATCAGGAGCTATAGATTGTGGATCAAATTTCTGACTACCATTTCTGGTCCATTGAAGACCTGGCGATTTCCCGCATCGAGGAATTCTCATTGGAGATAGAAGAATTTCTTCTTTTTCTGGAGTTGTTATATTTGCTTGTGGTGTAGGTCCTAAAGGTGGACATGGATGATATGTATAATTAATACTTAATGCCACAATTGGTACAGACCAACAATCAACCCAGCCTGCTCCTTTCTGACAAACATTTCTCCATTTTTTATTTTTGTTTAATTCTGATAAATATATATGTGATCCATCACGTGTCATAATCTTTGCATTTTTATTCAAAGCTAACAAAATTGTACGACTTGTATTGACTTCAGGTAGATAAAATGAAAGATCAACACTTTCACCTTGAATCCAAAAACGCAAAGGGATTGTAATAGGCAAATAATCCACAAATGGAAGATCAAATGATAGCTCGAAAAATTCCCCACAAAAAGCAATGTGCGCATTTTCTTGATTCTGTGATGAACAGTCAATCCAATTATATTCATTACATAATGTAATTAATTCAAATTCTTTTAACAATAAATTAAATTTCCACGTATAAGGTACAAAATGTAAAATATCAGGTCTGGCTTTACTCGCCCAATCATTAATCATATCTTGAAAAAATTCTTTGTGCGAATAAACTAAATTAGCTGTAGCTTTACATCCAGTTAAATTTAACATCCATTCTTGATGATCATTCCACTTTATTGGATAATGACATTTTACACCAAATTCTAATGTTTCACTTTCAACTAAACTTCGATATTGTAAACTTGTAGTTGCTTCTAAATGTAACAATTGTCCTGTTATTTTTGTTGTATATCCATCTTGTAAAACTATCCAGGGCATAGTAATTTCCAGATATGATCCAGGACCTACATTAATATGAACTGCATTTGTTTCCCTGTTTTTACTAAAGAGTATATCAATAGTAGCTTCATTCAATGTTGATAATCTAATATCAAATGATTGAACTTGTCTTTTTTCTCCTGTAACAGGAGTTTTTGTAACTTTTAATGGCTGGTAATCATTAGGGAAAAAAAATTTAAATAAATGTTCTCTTTGTCTATCAGCCCAAGGACCATAACTAAAATCAGTTCCTTTTCCACATTTAATATCAATACCCCAAATTGGCGGCATAGCTTCAACCATGTCTCCATTTACTAATTGAATCATTTGTGGATGTTCAGGAACAAATCCAGGTTCATCCATATAGTAATATACTTCTATGTTGTTTGAACTTAATACAACAAATCCTTCTCCCATATATCTAGGTGGATCATCTGACATTCCAGTATACTTTGGACTGGGTGCTAAAATAACTTTGAAATTTTCTGCTTTACACTTTGTAAAATGCATGAAATGATCATATCGAGATGCTGCTGGTTTTGTAGAATATACAAAATGTGCTTCTTCTACAGTTATTGATAAAGTTGTTGGTATTAATCGATTACCAAATACTAATCTTCCCTAATATAATAAAATATAATAAAATACCTTAAATAACAATAATAAAAAAATATTGAAAAATGACAAAAGATTTGTGTACTAACTGTGCAAACATCCAATTTAATAACAGGTATTAAATCTCTCCATGTTCGAGCAATAACATGAGCTTCTTTTTTTCTAATATTATCAACATGACGTGAAACATCCATTGCATTTATTTGTTGACGCGTTTCATGAGTAGTATTATTAAATGATTCTATATCATGATCATCACTATTAATATTATGATTTTCTTCATCAACAAACATTTGTGATGTAAGACCAAATGTTTTTTCTAATTGTGCATATAACTGACAGCGATTATAAACATGTAATTCAAAACCATTTAACATAACTGAAAGCCTTGTATCTGAATGTGAAAGATCTGAAAAAATATTTATTCAGATTTTAGTTTTAAACATCATAAAAAAAAAGAATTTTCTGTGTAAAAAATACCTTCAGATACATCTTTGGGAACATAACTTCTCCACCATCTAAATATAAGCCATCCATCCTGCACTCTGATACTATAATCTGTTGTGATATAAACTATATCTCGAAACATTATTTTTCCACTTAGTGCACTTAAAGTAAAAGATCCTAAAAATAAATAATATAATATAATATTACATTTAATACAAAAATATATGAATATTGATATTACAATAAATATTTATTTTTTCTTAAATTTATTTTTCCTATAAAACTTACCAACTTTAACATATCCATCTCTAATAACAAACCGATTTAATAATTTTGTTAATATATAACCAATAACTCTGCTATTATAATAAGCTATATAAATAATCCATGAAATAGCAGATACTAATGAGCAAAGTAAATATATAAAACTACTATCCATTTTAAGATCATCAAGGATGACATGATCGGAATAATTCCAAAAAGCTGGTTCAATTCCAGAGAACGATGGAACTGTAACATTATACAGTTCGTTCTCTTCCATGATGATATTGTTTTTTATTGTATAATCAAGAAATATATAACATTTTGTAATTAATCACTAAAATCAAAAAACAAATATTTATACAAGAAATGATAAAATATGTTATATAAATTCTTTTATATAATATATTCAAATGACTGTTTCTAATTTCAAAAATATAAAAAATTCATAATCTCATAATAATTTACTAGTTTTAATTTTATCTTTTTTATCATAAAATTAATCAAGCTTTATTTATGTTTATAACTTAGAAATTTATTAAAATTAATTTTGGAAAGAAATAATTTGTAAACATAACCTAATAACTAATTATAATTAATAAAGTATTTTATAATTCATTTAGCAATCTTCCTAAATATATTAATTTATTATATTTAATAGGTTTTTTATTTTTTTATTATAACGTTCACAAGTAATGAAAAATTATTTATTAATGATTATACGATAATATTTAAAAATTTGTTATCAATATGTAACATTTATCGTTAAAAATTAAAAGATAAAATTTGAATTTTTCATATTATATTTATTGATTTAAAATTATTTAAATAATTATTCTTATTAATAAGAGCAAGATATCTATCTATACATACATGTATATATATATATATGTATATATATATATATACATATATATATATATTATAATCAACTATATATCTTATAAAATATTTTATGAATAAATATCAGGACAAACTAATTTATTTAACTAATTTACCTTTATTCAATACTTATATAAGAATTACATTCAATTTTTGTTGTGTCACTCATGGTTTTGTTTATCAATAGATTCGTCTAATAGATGTCACAGAACTGTCATCACTAGACAGCAATACACATAACCACATCATAGTTGACTACTGACACTTTAGATTTTTAATGATACTCTATGTTCTACTATTTATAAGATTTAACACTTACAATCTACAAAAAATGCCATCTACATTTTTCATTTTATTTATTTTAACAATTATTGTAACATTGTAATAAGTCAATAAAGCAGTTACAGATCGGCAAGATAGTATTCTGTAATATATTATTATAAATAAAAAAGTATATACATTATATTAAAAATATAAAATAAATTTAACATTCAGTGTATTTTTGTGTGAAAACTAGAATCTCCTTTCTATTTTAATTCTTAACGATTCGATTTGAATAAGATTGCAATGTTAGTAATGATTGGAATTGAAATTAAATTTCAATATAAAATTATAAATAAGAAATAAAACAAGAAATAAAAAGAATAAAAAATATTTTACAAAATATCTTATAAACGTAATAAGCAAACAAGGAAATTAAATAATGAAAAAATTAAAAATAAAATAAAAATTGACCATCAGCGAATATTAAAGAGAGACATTTTTCGAATATTAAAAGTTGGATAAGAATTGAGAATCAGCGCCAATATTAAAAGAAGATTAAGAATTGAAGATTTTTTGAGTATTTTTAATAAATAATGCTGATAGTCAATTTTTATTCTATTTCTAATTTTTTCTCCCTATAATATACTTTAATATTTTCTGTTTTTTTTTAAATATAGCGTTGATTTTATTTTTCTCTTTTTCTCACTATTTTCTTTCCTTGTCTATACTTTATAAAATTTATGAGTTTAAGAAACAGCTTTCGTATCTGATTGATATTATCTTTTTTGCTTAATCTATTAATTAAAAATCTTAATAGTTATATATATATATTTACATTCTTGTATGTAAAGAGTATATATATTTTACATGTATATAAATTTTTCTTATATTAATTAAATGTTTCCAAAAGATCTTACAATCAAATAACCTAAATTTTATTTGTTGTCAACAAAATTTTTATATTTTACATTACGATGGAAACAATTAAAAATTATTTATTCTGTCAAGGTTTGTACAAAACACAGCATAAATAATATTTTGTTTTTTATTTTTATTGAATTTATTTTAAGAATATTTAATTTAAAATTATTTTTATTTTATATTTTCAGTTTGATGTATAAATGTGTGTATGTAGCTTCAATTAAGTTTCTTTTGTTCATGAAATATTTTATTATAATTGACCTTTTTTAATTATGGAAAAATCTAAAGATACATTTGCATGGATTTATCAATTAGAATGTCCACCAATAATATTTAATACTTCAGTACAAAAAATGTTTGTATAACCTTAATAATATGTATTTTATTTTTTTTTGTAAATATATAATTTGGATATGATATTGTATAAAATTATGTTATCTAAATTATGATTATATTTCAAATATAAATTATATATATTATTTATAGATTAAATTCAAGACTTATAGGACTTATGTGGGATGATTTAGCTGATGTTATATTTAATACTAAAGAAGCCAAAATAATACGAAAAAATATTTTATTACATCATTTAAAACAAGGGACATCTAATAATGTTATTGAATGTATGAAAAATTTATTACAATTAAAATTAAATAAAAATGATTTAAAAAATCAAATATCTAAGTTAGAAGAAGAATATGAGCAACAAGATTTTATTGTTAGACAAAAAGGTATGTTATTATTAGAAATATTATAAGGTATATATTTAATAAATATCATTATTATTATTATTATTGTTATTATTATTATTATTATTATTATTATTATTATTATTATTATT